CAGACATAGTGAGGAAAAATCTCCAGGAGTTGAAGCTTGGATATATGCTTTAGATGTTCCATAAATTATATAGAGTAAGGACCACAACTGCCTTTTTGAGCCCAAGCTTGAGCTGTCTAGAGAGCTGCACCTATCAGAGGTTGTCACCAGAAGGGCAGTACAACAGAGGGCTCTTGGAGTGTGGTAGTTACCCACTGCCAAGTAACAAATTCCCCCAGAATTAAGTGGCTTAAGACTCCAAACATTTATTATCTCATAGTTTCTGTGGGCTATAAGTTTCGGAGTGGTTTAGCTGGGTGGCTCTGGTGACCCGCTCTCCAAAGTCACATGCCATGACTTCTGATTTCTTCTTTTTGTGAGAAGTGAGTCACTAGGTCCAATGCATACTCAAGAGGAAGAGAACTGGGCTCCACTAGGATACAAAGAAGAATATCAGGGAATTTGTAGATACATCTTATGTAAGAAAATAATCTAAGTGATTCATTTTCAGAAATGACTTATCTTAGGGTATTTTAACTGATTCAGACCAAGCCCAAAAGTTGTTTGACTGGTCTAGCCCATTCTCAGAGGGTCTCTGAACAGACAGAGCTCTCCTTCTGATGGTAATTAGTTACTAGTCCTTATTGTTTTCTTCATTCCCTGGTATTTCTTCTTTCACAGGGCTTTTGCAGGTCTTTTTTGTGGGCTTGTCCTGAGCCCTCAGACAAAGAAATTTCCTACAGGGGGGTAATAAATTGGGGTAATCTTAGGCATTGTCTGGGAAGATTGTGTACCCTGTAGTACTTTCAGCCAATGAGGAACTGGGGGGAGGGACTTGTGCACTAGGGAATAAGTTGCTTGCTACAGCCCTTTTCTGTGTGCCTGCCCTTCAGACATCTGAACCTTATAAGGTCATAATTAAATTCTCACTTTGCTGTACCCTGTGTCTCCATGTCCATTCTTTGGCATTGGATGGGTGAGGGCATTTCTCACATATTTTTTGTTTGTTTTGTTTTGTTTTTGACCAGTAAGGGGATCGCAACCCCTGGCACAGTGTGGTCTGCCATCCCTATATGGGATCTGAACCCGTGGCCTCGGCGCTACCAGTGCCGCACTCTCCCGAGTGAGCCACGGGGCCAGTCCCATTTCTCACATCTTAAAACCACCATGGAGAGGCTTTGGATGAAGCAAGGTTTTGAAAAGAGCCTGTTTCAAAATGTAGAGGGAGAGTTTCTAGGTCTGTGAACCAGCAACCTATGAAGAGTTCACAGATTAGGTGAAGACCATTCTTTCTGACTAAGCTGGAGAATCAGATTCTAAGATGAGATACACAGCGGACTTAAGATAGGGGTCAGTGACAACAGGAGAGATGAGATAGAGCCTCTCATGGACAAAATATGTGGGCAGCGTAAAAATGCCCAAAATGATGGTGGCTAAAGGACTGTTGACTAATCTGGTAAGGGTTTGAAACAGAAAAACTGTCAATTATTTGTGCAATGAATAAATAGAAGAATTCAGCAATCTATATTTACCTCTTCTCCCTTACCCCAACAAAACCTAAGGGGTTTAGAAAGAAGGTTATGAACTTCCTCTTTTAATATCAATGAGATCTACTATCTGAAGCAAACAATAAGTACCTGGTAGTCCTGAAGTCTGCCAAACTACTTCTAGATGACAACTCAGGATTCTGGACAAGGTCATGGGGCGATTTTATATACACATATATATATGTGTGTGTGTGTGTGTGGGGGGGGGTGTATATATATGTGTGTGTATATATATATATACACACACACACACACACAAAATATAATATAAAAAAATATTTTATATATATAGAACGTCAAATATATACACTACTGTATTAGTCTGTTTTGTGTTGCTATAACAGAATTTCCTGAGACTGTGTAATTTATAAAGAACAGAGGTTTATTTGGCTTATGATTCTGGGACAGCTGTATCTGGCACTGGCCTCAGGCTGCTTCTACTCACGGCAGAAAATGGCAAGCAGCCAGCAGT